CGCGCGCGGCTGCTCGGGCGGGGCGCGGGGCGGCAGCCCCCCCGGCCCCGACAGGGGCAAGAAGAGGAGGCCGCAGGGCGACGACGACAGTGATGATGACGAGGACGAGGAGCAAGGTCGGAGCGCTCTGGGGCGGAAAAAGCGGATGGTTGCTTCTGCTGCTGCTGCTGCTGCTGCTGCTGCTGCTGTTGACAAAATGGACAAGGATGACGGCGACGGCGGCGGCGGCGGCGATGAGAACACGGCAACAACCGTCCCCGCTACTGCTGCGGATGCGGCTGCGGCGCCGTCGGGGCCGTCCCCGCTGCCAGACGGGGACGGCCCCGACGAGGCAGCGTCGCACAGGAGAAAGAAGCGCAAGAAGAAGCACGGGAAAAAGAAAGGCGGCGCTGCTATGGAGGCAGGCACGCAAGACAAGTAGCATGTTATTAAAGCATAATGGCAAAGCGTATTTTTGGGTTTTTGGTGGGTGGGGCTTGATGATGGCGAGAGGAGCCGTACGTGTCCTGGACCTTCGAGGCACATTCACATCCAATAACAAAGCCAGTAAGTCGGGCTAACCAGGGTACTTATATAACCAAGTCAACCTATACCGCAAGAAAGCAGGCCAGCCAAGAACTATGCCAAACCCCCGGACTCCTGTTCCACGCCCGAGTGACTTGCAAGATTCAGAATCGCAATAAGAAAAAATCGCATTACACCGGAAAACCCGGCGCTTGCTATCAGTACAAGAATTACCAAAACAATTATTCCCCCTTTTCCAGATACGTGGTCGGCGCAAGAGAAGCATAGTGCTCGAGGAAAAGAAGGGGTGCTATAGATGATGAGAGAGGGCAGGAATAGCAGGAGATTTGACCCAGACGAGATAAATAGAAAAACAGGTTTTCCCCCAATGACCGCGGATGTACCGCCAGAGTTCCCCAACGAATGCCCAGCGCAAGCAGAGAAGACGAGGAGAGAGGGATATGTGAGACAGGAAGAGTGAACAAAACAAGAGTTAAAAGGACAACGACCTCCAAAAATGCGGCCGAGTGAGCCCTTCTCGTTTTTCCAAAGGCTCCGTCGGGATGAACACGGCAGTAGACAAGGGCAGAAAATAACGGTGTTGAATATGTACAGGCGGGCGAATCCTCGCTCAAGATTCGACTCGAGAATCAAAGGTGAATAAACACGATGGCGGCCGCCGCAGAATTCGGGGCGATAGGATCCCGCGACAGAAATGGTATGGCGGGTAGGCGGCTGGTGGATGCGTGTGGAACTGTATCCAAAATTAAACCAACGGGCGTCTTGGTCTTCGCTGGTTCGAGCCCTTTGTTATACGAGGCGTTTTCGCTTGCGGTCGTCGTCTCCGCGTGGGTCGTCCCCATCCTCATTTGCGACCTCGGCTGTGTCGGTCGGGTTCAGAATATGCGCCATACTGCCTCTGCGAGTCGGTGGTAAGGAGTCGCCCTTGACTGCCAAGCTGCTGTTTCGTCCGGCCGAGCCCCATGACCAGTTAGTCAACGTATCCAAGCCACTGCCTCCATTCGAGAACGGGGGAGGCGGCGATTCTGGCCGGGATGGCGGCCTGTGCTGCGGGTGGTGCTGGTCTCTGTGTGGTGGGGGCGGCTGCTGGTGCTGGGAGTTGACTGGCAGAAGCGAGTATGACGAAAGGGAGTCCCTGATGCGCTGGTCTTCCGGCCCATGGGCCCTATTTGGCGAAGACGGCCATTGAGTAGATGGTGGGCCGGAAGCAAACGGGGATGCGCCGGCTCCAGGGGCAGGTGGCCACCCGTGAGCGCGGATGTCGGCAGACGTGTGTCGACGCGCCAAGCTGCTTGGCGGTAGCTCTACGTTTGCGAGCGGGTGGGGAGCAACCGGAGGTGGAGGGGGCGGCTGGGGTCGCGTGGAGGATGGTGATGGCTGTGTGGGCGTCGTGCCTGAACCGATGGACCCGTACGGTCGACGAGTGCTTATGGACAGATTCGAAGGGACAGGGGGTCTGTAGTAGTTTTGTTGTCGCGGTTGCGGGACTGCCAGCGTCTGGCGACGAGGATCATCTTGCGGAAGCTGTCGGGGCGAGACGGGGGCGTTTTCAAGATGGGTGAAGAACTGTCGACTGCTGGGGAATGGCTGGTCATGTGGCTCGTCCAAGGTCCGGATCATGTCGGCTTGTCTCTGCAGATTTCCTTGCAGGGCGATCACTGTCAACCAAAGAAAGTATTATGTTAGTACAACCCGAGGCTTCCGAGCCATGCATGACGCGTGACTATATTCCGGGAGGGCGCAAAACTACTTACCATCTCTGTGGGTAGGGTTCTCGGGATTCGGAACGAGCGTCAGGACGGTGCGCGCAAGCTCCTGGTTGAGGTACAGCAAACGGCCAAGAGTATCCATGACAGCCTGCTGCTTGATATGCATGTAGTGCGAGCTCTCTTCGCTGCGCTGAAGCCTCAGCGACATTTCATAGAAGGCACTTTCCATGTTCGCGACACGGGGGTCTGGGTGGCCTTCGGGGATCGGCATAGGCTCGGCGGGAGTGCCAGGCTGCGGAGGCGTCGGTCGCTGTTGGTTGTACTCCTTATGAACAAGCGCATGGCGCGAGGCGCGACGCTTTATTTCGCGCAGCCCGACCAGGTCTCCTCTTTTGAAGTTGCCGTTTCCGTGCTTGAATTCCCAGAGCGTAGAGTCGGACCCGTTGTGGAAAACATCGCTCACTGGATGCGCGATTAGCTTCTGGTGTCTGAAAAGTTGCCACCTTGCTGCAGGTACAGGGTAGATGCCGAGTGCATACCTTTGTGGAACCCATACATGTTGAGCTGCCTTACGAAAGACGAGATGTTTGTATGCTTGAAATATTGTCTGCAGGTGCGCCATGGTCAGCTCGTGCCATTGCCCTGGGTGGACGCGGCGATACGTACGCCAAAACTTTTGAAAAGTCGTTCGAGGGTGACATGAGAAAACTCTCCTGGGAGGGCGACCAAGAGATGAGGTGTTGTATGTTGGGATCTTCCAGCATGCTAGGAGCGCAAAGTCAAAAGTTAGATCAAGATCCCGTCATGCCAAGAGGACGGTAGCAGGCGGGCAGGCTCTCTCGTCTTACTTGTATAGCTTGTGTATGAACGCCGTCTGTACTATCTTGGGCTGGTGGACGGCAGGAGCGGCAGCGGCCGGGGCAGGCATGACGCCCGGCATGGAGTGCTGTTCCATCTTGGGGGTGCTGCTCCTGTGCTCGCTCCCAGAGCCCGGGCCGTGGCCATTGGCGTCGCTATCGGGGCTCTTGGTGGCCGAGGGAGGAGCCGAGCTCGTGGGAGTCGTGATCTCCATTGGCTCGCCGGGGGAAGGGGCGGACATCTGAATGGTCGGGGTGAGGATGGGAACGGTTCGGGAGACGATGGGGTCGCTATCTCGCATGTCGATGTGGTGGCTTCGATGCGCCGTTTCAATCGCGGTCGCCATTTGCGCTGCGAGGGAGTCGCATGGATGCGGCAACAGTCAGCTTCCACGGTTCCGCAGTTTCTGCAGCTTTCGATTGACCACAACTCGCTGTGGCGAAGGGGGGGGGATGGTGGGTGTATTGGCGGCGACTGGATGGGGTCGGGAGGCTTGTCCAAGGGGCGCGGAAAAGGGGGAATTCGTCCCGATCGGAGGAGCGGTGCTTGGTCGGGAGGGTGCTTGGCACCCTGGTTGGTGAGGGTGAAAGGGCGGGGATCGTGGGGGGACAAACCTATTGCATCCTCAGCAGAAAATTATCGAGGCGGGTCAGGGGCTGCGCTTGATGCCGTCCTGCGTGGTCGGCCGAAAGCGAAAGCAGCGCAAGACAGACGACAGGCGCGTGCCGAGGTTCTTTGTCCTGGATGTCTCCCCAGGCGGCACAGGTAGGAGTTGGGAAAATCGCGAGCTGGAGCTCTCCTCGTTGGTGCTTGGCTGGCTGGGCTGTCTTTGCTTTGCTTTTGCTTTGCTTTTGCTATAGCCTTGTTTCTCTCCCTTTCTTTTTGCAGTCTGCCGTCTGCTTGATTCTCAGATTCCTGCTGGTTCCCGCTGCCTCCTGCAACGCATGGACCCGCCGATGCTGCCCAATAGCAAAGGAGAAGTGGTCAGCACCTCGCCCAAATGGTGGATGCAGAGAGGAATACGGCAGGATCCAGTTGCGGCGGGCGAATGAAGATCATGACCCCAAGCCAAGGGGTTATGGTTATGTGGTGTTGTGAAGGGAGAGCGTGTATTTTTTTTTTTTGGCAACGCGCGATATATGGAAATAGATGGAGAGGAAAAAATGTCAGGAGAAAAATAGCAGATCTAGGGAAGGTTGGCGAATTGGCGATGGCGCTTCAAAGCACCCCTCCCCCCCTCGCCGAAACGCCAGCGCCGCTAATAAATGTGGAGGGCATTCGGTGGCGCACAGGCGCAGATGGTGTTTTGGTGTGGGTTTGCCTCCCAGGGCGAGATGACTGGAGTGATTGGGTTCCGGAGCTTACCTAGCCGTCGCCACGAACTTGCACGATGGAAGGGTGACTTTTGCTGGACAACAGAGCGCTGCGCCCGAGTAGGAACTGCTCTGCCCGTAGCCCTGCGTGAGCTGCTGCGGCTTCCCGCGAGAAACCGGGAGCAGAGGCCACCTGCTTGGCAACCACTTACAAGATGCGCTAGTCCCGACTACAGGCAGTTAGCGGGATGGGGGATGCTATCCGACCACCCGAGCTGTCCCGGTCCTGTGCGATGATGGGCGGATGGTGAGGGCGACAGATGCAGACCCGGATGGCGGGCGATGGGCCAGCTTGACAACAAAGGTCAAAGGGCCAGCGACGGTGCGAGTGCGAGTATGTTGGTGGTGTCGCAGAGCAACAGCAGGCAATCTGTGTGGGAGCGCGTGCGCGTACGACTCCTCACAAGACAGGAACCGGCAACGGCAGCTCCTGGGCTCAACTGTCCAAAGACCCGGGGCGATTGACCTGTTTCTGTTTGATGGGACACGACGACGTTTGTGGCGGTTCGAGTGCTGACGGATCGGACGTCCAGAAGGGCGGCGGTGGCTCAGCGAAGACTGCGGGAGAAGAACACAGAGAAGCTCAGGAAGAAGCACCCAACAAGCTCGAACGAGAACGGGCCGGTGAACGGAGCGGGGGCCTGGGTTATGTGGCCTAGTGCTGGGCGTGGGAAGCACGACAAGGAGAAAAGGGACGGACGGGACCAGACGGCCCACGAGCCAGCCCGCCCAGCGCAAGGGGGTCCTGGGACTGGCCTGTGCCAGGCCTGCTTGGACTGGATGATGGGTTGATTGATGCACCTATAGCTCCCTGTTTCCGAATCTTGGATGAAGGGATCGTCTTGGAATCTGTCGCAAGCCTTCTCCGCTGCCAGTGGGACGTGCGATTCAAACTAGCGTTGCCCCCAGCCGGCGGGCCTGTGTGGGGCCCCTCTGTGGCGGGCCCTGGGTTGTGCACAGCCCGTGTGCCTGCAGTTGCAACCGAGCTCGGCAAGCACTGGCCGGGGCCCTGCTGCCCCCCTGGTCGCCAACCGGGCCATGAGATGGCCCCTGCGGCCCCCAGCGCCCTGCCCGCAGTCAGGCCGAGGCACGAGTGGGAGGGCGCACCGGGGTTCGCTGCAACAGTTTGCCATATGTCCCTACCTAGGACGGCGATATGTATCTACATACCAACCTAGTTGCCTTGTGTATGTATTGTGTATGTACACTCCTCGACCCGGGCTGCCACCTGACCATGGACAGACATGTGCGCGGATGCGTGCGGGCGTGCCGCCTGAGGGCCCCCGGGGTTGCCGAAAGCGAGATGAAGGCCGGGTCTTTTCCTGCCCAACAACCGGCTCCCACCTGGCCGGGTCCCGGCGACTGGGGGGCTGTCGAGGTGGCACACACACACGAGACATTCGAGTCTGTGTTCCGAGGATAAAAGCACTTCGATTACATTCGGTGCCTACCTACTTACCTTCAACACGTACCAACCGACATCGCATATGCAGCAGGTGTCACAATCCGGGCCAGGCACGCACACATCCGGGCACAGGCGCATGCACGCCATTGGGATAGTCTCGGTGTGGCACTGTGGCAGACAGACGACGGGCGAGCGCGCTAAGGGCCTGGCGGTACCATATGGCCAGCGCAGCCGCACCCCAGCCCATCACCAGAGCTCCCAAAATAGAGTCCATGTCAGGCGGAGCGGTGGTGAGGACGGTAGGGCCCGGCTACCATCATAAATAGGTCGTGTTCTCAGCGAGCCTGATCTCGGGGCTGTTGAGCAGGGTCGGGTTGGACGCTCCGTGGTGGCTTGGCTTGGATATTAGATCGAAGCCATTGCATCACGCCGCCAACGCCTTCAGACGAGGTGGGACGGAACGGCGTTCTAACATGGCGTAACACGACACGACGGGTTGATGGCTAATGTCCCCTTTCTTTGTC